GGAGATATAATGAATTGTACAGTATTTTAGGTAAAGTGAATGTGCATATGGGTCTTTCAATTTTTTCTCTAGTTCTTATTCAATGGGCAGCCGGTGTCCCTTTACGTCCCGACGAGATGCATGTTCGATAATACACTAGACACCAATACACCTTGCGGTCGCCTCTGATTTGGGGTGAGCAGAACGCGAGGCCCTCCGCTGCACATAAATGATATAATTCCGACCAGCAACCATGCCCAAGGTGGGACCCGAACCCTCCACCGTTCGCAATTCCATATACCGTAGAATATTTTTAATGACAAGTGGGCGTCACTGAATTTTGGATCCGCCCTCCTGACGTGGAAAATGATTCTTCAAGAGATGTCAGCGGTGTCTGGCACCAGCTGGAAAAAGCACCAACCAGCAAATAAAAGTAGAAACGCAGACTCATCGCCGCCTGCCGTTCCAGAGTGCCGGCCTCCCGACCTTCACGGGCTTCGTTTCCTCGAGTGGCCTCCACGGCCGAGGCGGGAGTTTCCTCGGGAGGCGGACCGGGGATCGACGCCGGCCCTTGGATCCGCTTCCGCCCTCCGCCTGGAAGGGCGCTCAGGAGAGGCGAACCTCCGCGCGAGACTCGAGTCGACGGCTATCGACGCGCACGGACCTTCGATCTGAGCCACGCCCCCGACGTTTTCTGCTTTCGCGCGCAATCTCTTATGGGAGCGCTTCACTCTCGATCGCTGCGAGGTGTGGGGGGGGGGGGCTGAGGGGGGCCGTTGGTGGGGCGTTGAGCGCACGCCAAGCGCATTTGATGGTCAGCCGCTCCTCTCTCTTTCTCTCATTTCACTTTTCTTTCGGGTCATCCGAAGGAGAAAGCTTCTATGTGCTATTAGTGAGAAATAAAAAAGAAAAGTCTAGTGTAAGGTAATAGCATGCTCATTGTAAGAGGCTATTGATGATATCGAAGTTTTCTAGAAGATAACAGAACTAATGCTTGTAATATATTATTCTCCAGTGATGAATGTTCCCTACTCTCTCGCTTAAGGATTGCGGCTAGCATTTACAGTATTATCTTTAATGTTATTGATTCTTCAATGCGTAATGTAATGACACTGTACCTGTGTTTTATGCTAATATTTACTCGTATAATCGATTAAACGTGTTCGTATAAGTCGAGTACTTTTCAACACCTGTTCTTTTCTTGACTATCGTTTGCCTAATCACATTGTGGTATTGAACGTACTAATCATATTCAAATCGGTTCACAAACAACGTATTGTTCGTATCATTCCACACCGAATCCATATTTATTTAATGGTCAATAAAAGAGATGGACCAAGAAAT